TCTCTATACGATAGTTTCATCGTTATTACCATACATGTTTTACGTACTTATAAATTATATTAATTTTTGAAAACCTCATTACACATATATCGTAAGTGATGTATCCAAACCTATAAAATAGAGTTTCGAAATAAGTAAAAAAAATATTCTATTCTATTCTATTCTGAACTATAATTTGATTTTCACAGTTGCAGAAATCCAGTCGGTAACCGTTTATACTGGTACATAGAACTCTATTTATACAAGAATATTATTTGGTAATGTATAAACTGTTATTTCAGTTATAAACAGAAGATTTATTTATAACTTATATTTTTAATATCAAGTGTGTAATTATACTTGTTAACGGATTGTTTACATCAATTTTCAATTAAATCTACCTCAGGAATTTTTTTTTTTTTAAAGCAGTTCTATTTAGATTCTTGAATATTTTCATACCTTAAAACTATGTGTCAAAAGTTACTAACCTTTCCTTCGTACTAACATATAATAAGGCTTGCCAGAAATGTTTGTCGACAGAAATTGGAACTATATTTGCACACAATGACAAATTAAACGATGTGAAATTAGACGAATACAAAAAATTTACTATGGTGACTAATATAAAATGTTAATATTCTTCTTTGTAACGGTTCGTAAGATTAATCGTCAATGTATCTGGATCCGTTAAGTAGTATGTAAAAATAAACGTTGGCAATCAAATTACGCCTAAGATCGACTGTAAATTGTCTGTTATATTTATCACACCAAAATAATGACATTTGAAAATATTTACTATGATTTGCATACATGAAAGTCTGAGGAAATATATACTTGTATGATGGTACACAATATTTGTCGCAGATTACGTTTTAAAATAATTAATTATAAAAGTTTATGTTCATTAACAATAAGTACTATTCGAAAATATAATGGACATATTTTTCATAATGTCTTGGTTCTTGTACTAAAAAAAGTCGTACATGTAAGCAACTGCATAGGGTATAAAAATATAAAAACAATATACATATTTGTAAGTTTTCGTATATACACATATAAATATATTTCGTTTTAATTGATTCGCGGATATTTTGCAGTTTTTTTTTTATATATATTTACGAATATATTCATATAAAATATCGAAAATATAAGACAGCATTTGTATTTTCCATTGATTGTGGTCAAAACCTGATTATAATAGAAGCAGCAATATAAAAAGTTTGTAAATTATTCCACTTGAGTTGTGTTATATCAAAAGATGTAGGATACTTCCAAGTATGTAGAAATAAATGTTGGCCCCATATTAAATTTTATCCAATAATTTGATTACTTTTCTTATATTTACTACCGTACATCTTTCGGATATATTGAAGCAAAGAAATTCAATATATTACAATAACAGAATTTTCTATTGAAGCGTTTTTTCCATTTTTGTATTTTTATATGAAACGTTAGTATTCGTTTGGAACAACTCACACGAAATATATACTTCCAGCTACATTTAATGTCTCAATATTCGAAATTTTCAAAATAATATTGAAAATAATAAAAATAGATGTACGTATGCAGTAACACAACTAGGGGGGATTATGATTTATGAACCCCCCTCAAAATATGTTGTTAATTTAACCTTACCACACTCTCCACACCTTCCAAAACTATTATTTTTTTTTTAAATATATAAACTCCCCTCGTTGCGTACGCTGTAGCGAACAACACAACTCCGAATCTTGTACCAAAAACAGATATCTTCCGGCCAAATATGCACTATGTGGAGGGGATCATCCTACAAATTACGGAGGCTGCCAAGTCTTTAAAAACATACAAACTCGGGGGACTAAGCCGAATTGTCAAAATAATATATCCAATTCAATCAACAAAAACTGTGTAAATTAACTCACCTTGTCAAACCCAACTATAATCAATAATACAGACCCAAATTTAAATATTGAATCATTTTATTCCCAAGTACTAAAAAATAAAACCTATTCTAACAAAAATGACCAATACCATCCAGACCAGAGTCTGTAAATAACCTAACATCACATTTGAATACATTCATAAATTACTTAAAATCTATTATAAACTCTCTTATATCTCTTCTAACTCAAGTAATTAGTCAAGTACTTCTCAAAAATAATAATGTCAATTAACTCTAACACCACACCTCATTTATCAATAATTCTTTGGAATGCCAATGGATTAAAAAAACACGCAAACGAGCTTTACTACTTTTTACATAACAAAAACATAGATTTAGCTCTTATTTCGGAAACTCATCTGAAAAAATATACAAATTTTAAAATTAACAGATATAAAATAATTCGCGCAGATCATCCCGATGGATCAGCGCACGCGGGTGCAGCTATTTTAATCAAATCATCAATCCTTTACACCAATCTCCAAAGCATAAATAAAACATATTTACAAGCTGCAAATATATCAATTAATTTCAACAATTGTATTCCTATAACTATATCATCCGTCTATTTCCCTCCCCCAAACACAACAATCTTGTCAACTACCAAAGCTAGCAAATTTCAGAACCAAAAATACAATCGTTTTTTCAAAAGCTAGATAGCTCTTATATCATTGGTGGTGATGTTAACTCAAAACATACCAGTTCGAGTAGTCGATATACGAACACGCGTAGATGAATACTACACAATTCTATTATAAAAAACAATATCACTTTTATTTTTCCCGATGAGTCCACTTATTGGCTATCCCATACGAATAGACTACCTGATATATTAGATTTTCTTCTTAACAAAAATTCCAAGGCAACTCAATACACACATTAAAAACTTAAACAAGCTACTAGTGATCATACTCCTGTACTTCTAACCTATGGGGCAGTACCGGAACTCAACACCTGGTAGACTCTCAGCTCTGGTCCCATAGACTGGAATTAGTTCCAATATAATTTAGATAAACTAATATCATTAAACATGCCACTAAAAACACACGACCAAATAAATAACACAGTTAACCAATTAACTACTGCCATTCAAAATTCAATCTCTTTATTCTCATCAGTTACTCCAAATCCTTCAAATCAAAATAAACAATCGAACACCCATCCAATATTTATTATAGAACTAATAAAAGCTAAATGTAAAACTAGAGCTACCTGGGAAAACTTAAGATACCCAATTGACAAAATTGTATTTAACCAGCTAACAAATACTGTAAAAACGGAACTGTCCAAACATGGATCCACTCAATTCGAATCTCATCTAGAATCCCTAACTCCATCAAATGGCTCGATCTGGCGTACCACCAAAGCATTAATAAACCAACGTGACACTATCCATCCACTTGTATGCCCAAACAACAAATTAGCGTCATCTGACATCGAAAAAGCAAATTTCTTTGGAAACCAGCTATCTGAAACTTTCACTCACCATCCTTCCACTCTATCAAACATTGACCATGAAAATTCAGTTCATTGTTTTTTGTATGCTCCACTACCAACATCGCTACCAGCTAAACCAATCACTCCATCTGAAATACTCATAACAATTAACGAGTTACACACTAAAAAGTCTCCAGGTCACGATTTAATCACCAATAAAATAGCTAAACATCTTACAAAAAAAATCAATACTTCTGTTAACTCATATTTTCAATGCCATATTGAGACTATCTCATTTCCCTCCAACATGGAAATACTCAATTATCTTCATGATTTTCAAATCAAACAAACCCAAGCAATTAGTTACATTCTATCGACCAATCGCCCACTTGGTAAATTATTCGAGAAACTACTACTAAAACGTATTACAGCCATTATCCACGAAAACAACATACTGCCAGTAACTCAATTCGGTTTCCGCACCAAACATAACACCATCTACCAAATACACAGAATAACTGAACATATATCTACCTTTTTCGAGAAAAAACAATTCTGCCCATGAGCCTTCCTCGACATCTCCCAAGAGTTCGACCGAGTGTGACATAATGGCCTACTTTTTAAGCTTTTTTCTACTGGCCCTTTATTATCTAATCATAAAATCCTAATTAGAAAACATATAATTCTCCATACGTATTAAAAACAGCAACTCCATCTCACACTAAATTGTAGCTGGTGACCCACAAGTGATTTATCACCCCTACTCTACAACGTCTACACCTCGAACATTCCATCAACCAACAATGGCCAATGGGCCTCTTCTTATTCAAGTTTTCATGTCAATGTTATCCTCTTTATTATAAAAACTTCTTATTGTGAACGTCTCACAGATTGTAATTTTCTTTATTCAATAAAAAAAAAAAGACAACTATAGATGTAGTGAATGCGCTAAGCGTGACCAGCTCGTTTGTGAACCGGAAACACGTGGCTAGTTAACAACGCGTTTTCGCCCGCAGGACAAATCGCATGACCTAATGAACCTGCGAGAACAGCATGCTTTTGATTTTGACCATGAAAGATCAGCGAAAACCGCACGCTTAATCCTGTTACCTTTGTTTACGTTTGTATTTCAAAATATCCCACATTTTTAGACCATACACTGTTTTTCCATTTAAATGTGTTTTCCACGTGACATAATTCTTTCAAAAAGAATCAATGTACCGCGAACATTGAAAACTTTTACCACATTCGCAGATACATCCCGACGTGTTTCTCGACGTTTCGTATCTTATTGTAACATTTTTATCAATACAGTTTTTAAATTTACTTTTGTTCATGAATAACAAGACATAATCGTTATGACGTACAACGGAAGTATTGAATTTTCATGCGATTTTCCGCAACAATGAATAAATCAGAGTATCAGAGTATTTTTAATCAACAGTTTTTTTTTTACCCGCTGCGGGAATCCACTCGGTTCAATTTTCATTGCCAAAAGAAGTGTGTGTTATTTTTCCTATTAACTTTTGTTGAAAATCAAATCAGGAGTATGCGGTGTATCGTTGATCGAAAACTTTATTTATTATTTCCATATCATTGTATATAAATAATTTTATTTTTCATTTGTTTTTTTTTTTTCCCCCGGTCCCTTCGTGCACAACAGTGCAGCGGCACGGCGGTGAGCGGAGCACGTGCAAGCGACGGGTGCCGGTGCTGCTCGATGGTACGTCGGTCGGTGGGCGAGTACCAATGTCCGATGCTGATGGTGGTTCCCAGCAATGGCCACAACTCGGGCAAGTCGGTGGCCGCAGCCAAGAAGCCCGAGTCCGGTGGCAAGAAGCTGCGGTTCCAGTTGGCCAAAGAGCGGAAGGCGTCCACCACGCTGGGCATCATCATGAGTGCGTTCACCGTGTGTTGGTTACCGTTCTTCGTGCTGGCACTGGTCAGGCCGTTCCTTAGCGACCCGTCCAGCATACCCAGCTCACTGAGCAGCCTGTTCCTATGGCTGGGCTACGCCAACTCGCTACTGAATCCCGTAAGTATCCTGCGAACGTTTCACTCGAAAACACGGTACGCGAATCGACCGGCGCTAACCTACTCCCTGGTTAGTATTTTTTCCCTACTCTATTATTAACCTATACAACTTAATCACCATGTTGTAATTTTTATAAATGCATTTAAATTTAAAAAAAAAAAAAATTAAACATGCGTGCTTTTAAAATGTCAATAATCAATTTGTTCTCTTTAAGCATAATTATATACACTTTGAATGTCCCGATATTTAAAAGGAAAAATGTATGACCTCATATAAAGATAAATTGAACACTCATATCCTAAGGTATTGTGATAAAAAAACTATGCAATATAAATTATTTCTGTTAATCGACTAAATCTCAAAGATGCAGAACTTAGAGTTATACCAAAAATAAAAATAAACATAATAATTAACATGGATTTAAAAATATAATATGACTAGAATAAGGGACTTCATGCTATAAAAAACTATAAAATATACATGCACTTTTGCCCTTATATATTATAATTTATGGTCTTAAAAATATTTTAATTTATATAATAACCAAAAATTATAAATTTATTTATTATTAAAAATTATTATTTATTATTTTAATTTTTTCTTTAAGCTCCTTTAAAAATAAAACATAAACAAAAATTTGAATTAAAAATGCATAGGTATTGTATTTAAAGTTTAATAATTTTGAAAATCTTACCAAAATTAATTCAATGGCAATGACTAAAATGTTTCGTATATATTCAAATGTAAATAAACGATGATTGTTGGCTAATACATTTATATTCGTTGAAAACAAATTCTTGACTTTAATAAATATTATTGCAGCGAATTTATAGTAGGTACTTTTCAATACTTTTAAACCTTTTATTTTTTGACAGTAAATTTTATATTTTTTTTTATAAATAACTTTTTCTTGTTTATTTGTAGACCTTTTTAATTTTAAATTATTATCATCTGTATCACATATCGTTTTAATTTTTTTTTTTTTTTTAATATAATTATGTACTTAAAATAAAAATATAACAAAATATGCACTTATAGACAAAATTAGATAAATATGGAAAATATAAATGATGGCTTTAAATTCTCAGTAATCTGATATAAATGTCTATATTACTTAGCTATGTTTCGAATGATTATTGAAAAATACCTATGTTAACTCCTATAAGTCCCTAAATCTAAATATGACTCTCTGTAATATATATACATCCTAGGACTATGCGATATCAATAACACTAATGACTCATTGTATAATTGATGTTTAAAAGTACTACGTCAAGAGGAGATTAAAAATACAAATTTACTTATCATTATATATTTTATCAATTATTTCCGTTTAAAAATGTAAGATTTTTTTTTCAATTTTAACTGTCTTACAAATATAGCTTATGCATGCCATTAATTTCTGTATATTCTTGTTATTTTGAAAAACAATGATACTCATTATCGTGTATTTTTTTACGTAGTGAACTAAAAAACATATATTTCAGCCTAAATTATAAATTAACTGTATTAAATACAATGGAAAAATAGGAGAATTGTCAATTTAAAAATGTGAAGACTTTCTAGGCATTCGAAAGAAAGTTGAATATTTAAGTACTTTTAATCTCAAAATGAGTTTTTGATTTATTTTTATTTTTATTTGTTTTATTATATTTATGGGTATATTATTTTAAGCCATACAAATTTTACTGCTTATATAATTTTCTTAAGTTGTTGAACATAAAATTAATGATGCGAAACATGTAACTTATTAATATATTATAGGTATGTCTGATAAACAGTTAAAGCTGCAGGACCTCATAAAATGATTCATATGATTGAATATTACTATTAAAAAGTGCTATTGCTATAGTCATAATGTAAGGTATAATTTCGTACATTTTTACAAAACTTAGCGGTTTACACCACACACACACACACACACACACATATTGCAGATTTATCCTGAACAGCTAAATAAAGTACAACGTCGCTTTATAACAATAATAAATCGACCTACATGTAAAACACTGTTCCATTTATCATTTTATTTTTTTGTATCTAATTTGTATTCGTATAGGGATATAATATAATCTGAAATATGAATGTTGTGTGCTAGATTTTTGCATTGAACAAATACATTTTTTTATTCTAGTTTTTTTTAGTATTCAGTTATGTATACATAAATAATTACAACCAATTCCGTATTGAGTAAAGCTTGGTTCTTTATAAAAACACTGTTATCCATAATGTATTACATTATAATATACAATTCCTGCAGGGATTAAGTTGGGTTAGTTGACAGTATAATATATACCGACGAACATATTATTTGGTGGATCTTATTACTATAGTAATGTAATAGTTTTACAAATATTTTAGTAATTTATTCAAATCCAAACCAATCATTACTTATTATTTTTTTATAACTGTCCACATGTACTTTTATATTTAATATTTTAACATAAAAAGTCATGATTCAGATGCATGATATAAATTACATTGTGTGGAATTAGAAATAACTGCGTCTACGTTTTTCACAAAACCAAAGTTCCAAACGAATATACAATCGTGAAAATCATGCCCCAACCGCAAATATGTCAACACATTTGTTGCTAAAAATAACGAACAAAAATACAAACGTGTTTGTTATGTTTTCATGTGGTCACAATGTTCGGTATATTATAATGGTGTGCGTTATAAAACATTGGTACTTCTCTAGCACATGTATTATTCAAATGTGTAAGCCAAAAAAAAAAACATCTCGTTGTATATTCTTAATATGAGTAGAGAACTCCGTTCAACGCATCGCAATAGTAAGTTAAAAATTTTATTTAAAACCCCTTATAATCTTGAATAAAAACAATGTTTTTTTTTTTTCATAAACATTTATTTTATACGCTAAGAAAATAAAGAGCTCTTCGGTTCCATTCAAACGTATATGAATTATTCTTAACGTTTGACCCAAAATATTTATATGTTTCTAGCCCCACATTTTTAATTCCTCGATTATAGAAGTTAAATAGACGCTATAAATAGTAGCAACGTAATACGAAGCTCTTTTTGAAGTTCTTTATTGTCAACTGTCAAATATCTTGTCCTCTTGTTTTAATTTTTCAATATTCTTATCTCATTATCAATAATGTAATAGTCATCTAATTTTCTCATCGTCCCTTATCGGGCCACATCTAACCAGGCGCGCATACAGCAATCACCTAACTTAACCTAACCTATCCAATATTTCGGATCATATCATTGAGTAATACGAATAATAATTATTATTCTTCTTATTGCGTAGATCATGTAGATCATATATATCATTAGGCTGATAAACTAGACCGTTTTTAGTTGTTATTTGAAACTTACTAGTGACAAAATTTAAAAACAATTAGTCCGACGGTAACGTCGACAAGTGAGCGATATATTTCAAACTACAAATAAATTAATTGGTTTTAATGGGCTAGCAATATCAAATATGCATAGTGAATTATACATAAAGTAATAGATTTGATAGTTGAACAAAACTGTGGGCATCTATCACTTATTCTGTTTATAATTAGTATCACTACGTGACATTTTTTCTACATACAAATATTCTGGATTTCGTACTTATACTTGTATACCAAATACATTTGTACCAATGCCAAACATTATAAATATTACATACTTTTATCACATTTTTTTATAAATATTTGTTTAATATTGTATTTAAAAATGTTTTCGCCTATCCTTCCCCTGAGGTTGAACCCTATTTCCACAAATCATATAGATCACAGTGATCACACGTCGATATAGGACGAAGGCGCAAGTTAGTGTCGAGTACATTTACAATGTCAGTCGATAATAAATTTATTGTACACACATGTAAATTCTAATCGGAAAACCGATGACGGCGAACCGTTAATGGAAATGTCACTCGAACATTTCTGGCCCACGAGTTTCGATTGCACAAGCAGTGTCCATAATTATGCACGACGTAAAAAGTTTCATTCCGCACAATTATAATTATCTTCCATCCCTTTTTTTTTCTTTTTAACCAAGCGGTACACTCGCCGTTCGGGAACGCCGAATAGGCAGTCGGTGGGTCCTGCCCGTGAAACAACACCCGGGAATCTCCTTTGACGTACCTGACGTACCCCAAACGTGATTTTTTTCCCTCGCGATTCGATTTTAAAACGTCGATATTTTACCCCCAGAAAACCGATCCGGCTTGCACGATCTCATCCCCGGGGCAAATGCAATAAAGCACGATTTCGTATGGCCAAACGGGCCGCCTAGAAACGTGTACCAAAACATCAAAAACGTTTCGTCTCGCACTCTCTCGCTCTCTCGCACCATTAACACTGACGCGAGCACGATCCCCCTCCCTACAGCGCTCCGGGTTCATCGATCGGACGATTAATTATGTGTACGCTACTAACCTCGGCCCCGCTCGGTTTCGCAGGTAATCTACGCCACGCTGAACCGGGACTTCCGAAGGCCGTTCCAGCAAATATTGTACTTCAAGTGCGGCTCGCTGAACCACATGATGCGCGAGGAGTTCTACCACTCGCAGTACGGAGACCCGGAACCGCAGCACTCCACGCATTACTGCGTGATACCCGGGGAACCGAACTTCGTGCCTCACCACCACCCGTCGCCGACCCAGCCGGACGATGCCGCACGGACAGTCGCCGCCGCCGATGCCACAGCCGCCGACACTAACAGTCCCACCGCCCTGGCCTCGGAATCGTTCCTGTAGTGGCGCGTCCGCCCCTCGGCGGTGCACCTCTCATCGCGCTCGGTCCGCCGACGGAGAGAACGTAACAGCTGCGCCTACTCGCACGTCGGTGTGTCCGCGGTATCCAGTCGACGTTTCCGTCTGCGGTCCTGCGCGGGACGTTTTCACGGGCATTTCAATCGGTTTATTTTCCCCGCCTCGTCGACATTCTGTCGAGACCTGTACGGATAACATGTCAGACGATTCGGAACATCAAAAACAAAACCTAAACATAATATTTACGGTTTTTTTTTTTTTTTTTTTATTATAACTAGCGTGTAAGTTATTTTTAACGCTTTTAAGTTCAGGGTTTCATTTACGATTGGTTAAGATCGTCCCCCGGCAGTTGGCCTTTGACCATAATCCGTAGGAGAATACTTCTTAACTCTTTTCTGTGTTCCGATTTTCATTATCTATACGGTTGCTACGTGATCAAAGGTGTTTTAACAACGTTTATAATTAAACCGTGAAAAATGTACATCATATTAATCGATTTTGTGTAGTTTTTCTCTTTCGTATTGATCACTTTGGAATCTTTATTTATCCGTATGAAGCCTAACCGGGAACGGCGCTAGCAAATATTGTTGGGGGAGGGACGGTATACAAATTTGTTGATTACTTTTTAAACAAATTTCCACAATACTTATTTCACTTAATGTGTTGATGATTGCCAACTACAGTAAAAAATCGGTTATAACGAGTTTCAAGGGCCAACTAGTTTTTCTCATTATAACCGGTAACTCGTTATATGCGGTTAGAAAGAACATTCGTTGAAACCGATTAAAAGCGGAAGTACAAAATAAAACAGACTTTTTTTATTTTCGATAAAAAAATTTTATTTGAGATTAATTCATACATGCACGTACATATATTATTTATACATTTATTATTAATTATTATAATTGGAGATTTAATACATACATAATTATAAAACACTTGAATTGATTTAATTTTTATTTAATTTCTTAAAATAATCTTTGATCGAACTTTGCTTCATGTTAGAATTGATCGATGTTTCTAATAAAGACAACGCTTTTCTTTCAGCATCTGTACCTTCATATTTTGTGTAATAAAATCTTTCTAGTGTCCTCAATGCTGCACGAGCTTTGATTATTGACGGCACAGTTTCAAACTCATCACCAAGCTCATCAATATCAGTATCATTATCTAGCTCAACTTGTTGGCTGGCTATGACATTGTCGACTATATCTTCATCTGTTTGAATTTCTGACGTTATTAGGTCATCATCAATCTGTAAGTAGTCCTCGTCGATGTTATTAATCAATCCACTGTCTGCTTGTAGCTGTGTAGTATCGGTCGTAACGTCACAAAAACCTGCATGCCGAAAACAATTAGCAATCCCCGTCGATGTTACATTACGCCAAGCTTTATCCAGCATTATTATGGCATCCAAAACAGTTACTTTTGATTCTATTTGATTTTCAATATCCTCAATCATTTTCAGTACCAACTGATTCCGGTAATGAACTTTAATGTTCCTTATAACGCCCTGGTCCATCGGTTGAAGTACAGCAGTAGTGTTGGGGGCAAAAATACGAGTTTCATAATTTTCAAATGCTGCAATGATGGGTGTGCTGGACAATTGTCCACCAACAGTAGAATTTTTTTTTTCTCACGGCGTAATTCATCATCCCAATAATTAAGAGTCTTTTCAAAAATTGCTGAGGTCATCCAAGCTTTGGTGTTATTTTCATAAAATACAGGAAGTGATGAAACTCCTTTAAAACACCTAGGAATTTTCGATTTTCCAATAACAAGGAGTTTTCTTTTATCAGTTCCAGTCATGTTGGCTGCCATTAAAACTGTTATTTTGTCTTTGGATAATTTTCCACCCAAGCATTTTTCCCTTTTGAAGTGAAGAGTTTTATCAGGAGTTAATTTGAAAAAAAAAGCCCGCTTCATCGGCATTATAAATTTCATCATCACAGTTACCAGATCGAAGGGACGGCCAAACGTTAGCCAACCAGTTAGAGCAGATATCAGTATTAACTGCAGATGACTCACCTGAGATCTTGCCGAAACCAAAGTTGTGCCGCTGTCGGAAACGCTGAATCCAAGATGCAGAGCATTTGAAATTTTCTATTTTCATTTTTTCAGCCAGTTGGTCAATTTTTGTTTGCAAAATAGGACCACTTATAGGCATATTCAATGACCGTTGTTGTTTGAACCATACTAGTGCAGCTTCTTCAAGGTCCTTATGCTGTGCAGTGCGCAATCGTTTTGCGTTAAGTGAAGTGGTTTGAAACATATTTTTCAACTTATTTCGGTTCTTCCATATGGTCGATATTGTCGAAGAACAGGTGCCGAATTCTAATTACGCTGTTTTTCTCACCATTTTCTAAACGCCCGATTATACCGATTTTTTCGTCCAACGTAAACTGATGACGTGACATGGTGGAACGTCTACACACAACTGACGCTATTTGTAATTTTATTAACTTTAAAACACCAGAATTTGTAAGAATTATGTTTATTATTAATAAGTAATCCATATCTATACAACTAAAGATAATATTTCAATGATTAATCAACCTAAATACGAAAATAGCTCGTATCTTGCAGGTACTTGTTCGTAGTAACCGGAAGGTCGTTAGTCAAGTAAGCTTTATTTTACTCGTTATAGCCGATAACTCATAATAACCATACTCGTTGTAAACGTATATTTTAACATACAATCATATGCGCTCGTGCCGGGACCTAACGTTTTGCTCGTTGTAAGCAGTATCTCGTTCTAAGCGATACTCATCATTGTGATTTTTACTGTATATAAATAAACCATTCATAGATGGGGAGGGAGGGGTATATTACACCCCACCCCACAACCCCTAACACCGATTATGTACCTACCAAACATATATATATAATCTAAGTGTACTATTTCGTTTTTCTGAACTACTGTCATATTGCCATATTTTAGATTTTGTGGAATTAGGTTTCAACTCGATATCTACCACTGTTTGCTTTCATATCAAACGAAACTCGAAAAATCAATTATTAACAATATTTCGCGATAACTTTAAACTAACCAACTATATACGTTTAGGATGGTTGAAAAATTCATACTGATAACTGATAACCCGCACGTAATATGTACTGTATGTGTCTAGGTGAGAAAATTCGTACTGTTATCGAATCTATTGTAAATTGTATCTACTCGTATATATTATTTATATTATTTCGCGTAAACACATTAGCGTGGACATTTTTTAGATTTGATTAATTGTAAATGTAAGTTTTTTCAAACAATCAAAATCATTAGAAAACTATTATTTACACTATATTTTCGATAGGTAAACTAAAAATGTATTCATTATTCAATTTAAAATTTTATTCAGAAAACATTTTACATATTTTCACGACTATTTAATTAAGTATTGAACTTTTAACTGTACAGTTCCATAGATAAAGTTATCTTTTTAATTTAATAATAAAAAATAATTGACTACGAGCTGTTGATGTATTTTGATTTAGATTGTATTTTGATAACAGAATAAATTCAAAATTTTTATAGTTATACTGCTATAGTTCTTATATACTATAATAGTAATAACCACTTTCGTTATTTTCAGAATATTAATTGAAATAAACAAAACATAATTAATTGTTGGATTATCACACTAAAACGATTAGGACAGTGATGTATTATCATAACTTTTATTTTATTAGGTATAAAACACTGGAGTTGATAAAAAAATTATTAGTATTCTGTTAAGTTAAATTTTAAATATTTTAGGAATAAATTTATAAAATATTTAATCATAAATATATGGTAAATTCTTGCATATTAATTTTTAAATCTTTATAACACCCTATATTTGATTTTTACGGGAAAACAGTAGTTCAGAAAAAAATTATTCAAATTTATTATTTTATACAATTAAAAACTATTTATTATAAGCATTAAATTTGTGTAAATAAAGATTGAGTTTTAAACCTGTATTATTTAGTATACTGTGAAAAATTGTGAATTTTGAATTTTACTGTAATCGTTGTGATAGAATATGTATTATATAATAAATTAAGAAGAAAATAATTTGTAAAAACGAAAAAAAATGCATAATTTAATATTAAATGCGATTGTAATTTAAATAAAAATAGGATACTGAATTATAAAACTCACACACATACACATTTATACAAACACAAGGCCGTATCTGAATAGAAACTAATAGGGTCCAGACCTGATGGTCCTATCGGAATGATTTTTAAACCAACATAAATAAATTCGTCGTTTTCATATTTAAATGAAACTGAAAATCTTGCTTTGTTATATTTTTAACTGAATGTAAAACTTAAGTTCATTATAGATTAAAATAAGTAAACATATTTAAGACTCGTCATCTCCCGCGAAAAAAACTAAATATTGCCTTGCGCGCGCGTGTGCACACACACACACACACACACACTCATACATACAAAATCATCACTAACACGTGCGCTACATAATTTTATTATTTTATAATAACACAGTATTAAAACCACCGAATTTTTTTGTTTGTTTAAACTTTGTAGTCGTTATTTCATTGTATTATGTATAAATATATATTATTTAAGGACTTACCACCTTAACGATATAATGTTGATTTCACGTCATCATATACACAAACACACACGTATATGTATGTGTATGTACGAGTGTATATGATATATATATATATGATTATGTTTCATGTGATTGGTTTCATAAAATTAATATTGGCATTTAATCAAATTATTACTGTTAACGTGTCGTGTTCAATCGTTACCTTTTGTTGTTGATGCAATAATAAAGAGCGAACGTGACTGCATTGGAAATTAATACACAGAAAACGGTGTAGGTGTGTTTAATTATATACGAGGATTTATATATATATATATATATATAATGCCCACTTTCCAGGTGTTCTACTATAGGACTCGGTCATCAGTTCATTTGCATCGTGATATTATGCGCCACTGTTAAAACTGAACTCGACCAGATACAATATAAGGTATATTATATAGGTACAATGCACGGCATTATGTTATTCGCAAAATGTATTCTGTGTGTTCCTGTTGCTACACCACCTCGCTTAATGGCGAACAATAACAGTTTAGCAATATCGTCATGCGACCCCCCCTTCCATGTCATGCGACAGAGTCGCCTTCGAACGCCGAATGTTGAGAGTTTCAAAAATGTAAATCGTCTCGGTATTATTCTGGAGATCTAGAGCAGTAGGTAACCTTCAGAGTAAAAAATGATCCACCCTTCACTGTATTATAATTTTATATATTGATCAAAAATATTTTTCAATAGTATCTATTAAAGTTTACAAACTTGTTTTTGTCATCGTAAATCTAAGAATACAGTGGAGGTTAGGACAGTCATATCTCCGGCGAGTGCTCATGGATCGCAGCATCTGATGACCAACATTGGAGGTCCATCGTATGCGAAGAGACAGCTACTCATCTCTGTCATAAATATCAAGCTGTTATACGGGGCATCAGTGTGAGCAACGGTGGTAGAGGGTACGACGAAGAGTCGTAACACTTTCACGCAGATGCAGCGACGGACAGCCTTGCATGTGGTTAGGTTCTACTGGAAGATCTCAGACATGCCCCCGGTACATTTACTGACCTTGAAATGTACACGTTTAGGTACACAACAAGGTAACAAGAGTGTCATTAAGTGGCAGAAACAGAGAGCTACCATCGTCAGATAGCAGGAAATGTAAGTAGAATCTAACAGGGCTGAGTGGACGAGGAGACTGATTCTAGATATCGTACGGTAGGTAATGGTGTCCAAACAAAAGGAAGTAGGATTCCACATGGCACAAGCTCTTACTAGAAATGGTTGCTTTCAGAGCTACTTGTTCACAAGGGGGAGGGCCAACCATCTCGGGTGCCTAAATTACGGGTGGTTGGATGATACGGCCAAGTAAACGCTTTTCTACTGCTTTACTCAATGGGCTGGCCCTCGGGAATAAGTGGTGAGGGCAATTGGCAAGCCGTTGCATCCTATTGACTTACCGAATATTTTATTGGGTCCGGAGGACGTTCTGTTACCAACCGTTGTGGAAGCAGCGGGGAGGTTGCTGGATACGACGGAGCGTCAGCGTTGGGCCTTCAACAAAATATCGAGACCATTATAGAGAGAAGGAGGAGTTGGAACTCGAGCGGCAAAGAGATCAAGACGCATGAGGCTGAAAACGGGAAAAAATATTAAAATAAAAATAAAAATAATTACGTAAATAAAACGTTTCAACCTTTTTTAAATACTTTTCCTATGTGTAAAGGATGACCAGTTGGGGCTTATCCCATCTATTATCTCAGCATCAATGTTCATTTTTCTTTTAGAATAAACGATGAGAGACCAGGAAGCAGAAGTGCGAAAAACAAATCCCTCCCGGTCTCTCGGTTAAAACAGAAAAAAAAGACAATCTCATAACCACATACCAACAACTTTTTCGTTAAACATTTAAAATTACATTTAGTTACGATAATAACAGGGGCACCATTTGGGGGGAGCAGGATGTACACTCACACACCCTGATTTTTTTTCATCTTCAATTATTGGCCTAGGTGTCACTGATACATGACCTTCCACTTTGGCCATCAGTTTTCCAATCTTTAATTTTGTGCATCCACCGTGGCTGATCAGTAATCACTGCTAATCATAAGTGTTGACCTGGTGGTGGGAAAAAATTGGCCTCTTTAATTGCTTGCACACCCTTAAAAAAACTGAAATGGTGCCCCTGGATAATAATATTGTACTTGTATATTGTATAATAGTATTTAATATTTAAATTCATTAATATAATATTTTT